GAAAGAAAGAAAGAAAGAAAGAAAGAAAGAAAGAAAGAAAGAAAGAAAGAAAGAAAGAAGAAAAAGAGAAAGAAGAGCAAGCAAGCAAGCAAGCAAGCAGGTGCACTTAGGCCAGGTCCTGGCTATAGACCTGATCTATCTTACAGGGAATGCTCAGAGAAGTAATAATGAACAAATTCTCAGTCTTGAAGACATTTACAAGATATCTTTCACTATCCTTTCTTCCTTTCTTCCTCTTCTTTTAACCCTGTAAATGTATATGTGTTTTCTTTCAAATTTGCTATTTAGTGACATACTTTAATTTTAAGAAACTGTTTCAAAATTGCCTGTGATTATCAGAGACTGGGGATGGGTGTGGTAGGATAGGAAATGTTGGTCAGTGCTTACTAAGTTGTAAAGAACTGAAAAGTTCTCCTATATTCTATACAATTGTGTTAACTATAGAACAATGTAGCATATACTTTAAAATGTTACTAGCCTTTGAATGTTTTCATCATAAAGAAATGATCAGCTTTTGAAAACACAAAAATATGTAATCCGACTTAAATATTATACAATGTACATATGCATCAAAACATGTCAGCATCCCACTGATATATAAAGTTATGTTTTAGGTATGTTTAAAAATAAATTAAATTGAAACCTGGCATGGTAGCACATGCTTTCAATCCTAGCACTCAGGAGGCAGAGGCAAGTGGATTTCAGTGAGTTTGAGGTCAGCCTGACCAAAACGGTGAGTTCCATACCAGTTTGGGATACATAGCGAGACCTGGTCTCAAATAAATAAAGATACAAACAAGCAAACAAAGAAGAAAGTTCTTAGAGGATATTCTGGGGTCTGGCATATGGCTCAGGGGTAAAGACTCCTGCAACCAAGCCTGACATCCTAAGTTTGATTCAGAACCCACATGGTGGAAGGAAAGAACCGAATCCCTCAAGGGGTCCTTCTGATCTCCACACATGTGCTGTGCCCCCCCCAAAAAACAAATAAAGGTTTAAAGAAGGACATTTTGAAAATGCTGTTTGAAGAATCCCTTTAGAAAGAATTTAGAAATAAATAGATCAAAACTTAATCCTTAAGCAAGTTTCAGAATGTTTTCATTGATTTCCATAGGAGCCTAGAGGAAAGCAATATCCACCAGAGTGGCCTAGAGAGGGGAAAACACCAACAATTACAGTATGGACAAGGACGGCAACGTGTGTGCCACACAGTGTACACTCAGCACCCACAGAGACGCACTTACTATTCAAACAGCATCCTCTAGACTTGTCTGAGACCTTTACCCTAGCACTCATTACCAGGCAGGTTATCATTTCATGGCAGGTTATCAAGGAAACTTTGAAGAGGGCATTAGCTTAGCAGTTTGCTACACTGAAGATATAATCTAAACCATTAGACACCCTTATGGATTTCTTATGTCCCTTCTGTAAACTATAAGAAATCACCAATGCTAAGTGTTATACTAAGACAGGGAAAGGTATAGCATAGGTCTTTCTTTATGGGCATCAAGGTTTTACCAGGACTTTGGCAGACTTAGCCCTGGCTTTGCTGTTGGCTAATGATGTGACTCTGGGATGCAGTGATTTAAGCATCGAGCGTCAACTCCTTTTCTATCTCAAATGAGGATATACTTTCCCCATCTATCTACTGCGTATATTTTGAAAGTCAGGTAAACAAGATCAAATCCACGAAAAAAAAATTCATGGACAATAAAATGTCACAAAATCATAAAATGTAGAATAAAAAGTTTAAAGTGACACACTTATTGTAAAGCAATTTGTAGAGTTTTAGTAAATGCTATTGTGATTTACTATATGAAGTCTGACTGTATTACTGTCTCATAATTGCTAACTATCTCATTTTTCTTACACAGAAAATTAATTATTTACTCAGTCATCACATTCTCATATGTAGCATTGAACTTTTTTCGGGAAACACGTACGAAGTGGGAAAACCAGCCAACACTGAACAAAGAAGAGACATATTGTAAAATCAGTCATGAGAAGTGCTTTCTCACTCTGAGCTCCACCGTGAGCCACCACGGCTGCCTCCAATCCCAGGGAGTAAAGACAGTGGGGCTCTATATTCTTTGAGTCTTTCAGTAAACTATTGATCTCGTACACATGATCCATAATGTTCCAGGAGCTCAGTCCATCACCTGGTGAAGTACTGGTCTCTCATGGAGAGGAAACCACCATGATTTATTTACCTGACATTTTCCAGTCCGGATGTCATACAGGGCTACTGAGCCATGGCGTGCTCCAACAGCAATTCTGTGGCTCCGCTCATAATAGCTGACCATGTAGAACCTGAATTGAACATTTTCACAAGAACAAAAACAAAAGCCAGGTGAGATTGCCAGTATGTGGAAGACAAAACCAATACTCAAAAGATTAAAGCCAACGTGCATGCTTGCACACATGTACACACACACATAAAATATACAATTATATATGTATGTATATAAAAGCTTTATATACATTTATAGCTATTATTTATAGCTATAAATATCTTTATAGCTATTATTTCTAAATAAATACTCCTGTAATCAACATATGGATTTTAAAAAATGTTTCCCTTTAGTACGAGTACTTTTGAAAAATCAACTGACATGGAATTGATGTAGAATACCACTTAGGCCTGCTAATGAATTTTTGGCCAGCTCTAGTGGCTGACTCACAGCTCTAAACCGAGCACATGGAAGGCAGAGGCCAGAGGACTGAGGTGAGTTTGGGCCAGTGTGCATTACACTGTAAGTTCCTGGCCAGCAAGGACTACAGACAGAGTAAGACCATGTCTTTAAAAAATTATTTTTGATAGGAAACAATTTTATAATCATGAACACACCTGAAAGTTTGGGGGTACAAAGGGCCAAAGGCAAAAAAAGATAATTGTGAAATTACAGCTTTATGACAACTTACATGAACATTTTCTATTTGAACAGAAATGAGAAGATTTTGAAAGGTTCATATATTCAATTATGTTCTCGTATTACTTAACTAATGAAATACACATTCTCACAGAACAATAATAAAAGGCTACAAAAATAGCAAGTCTCCTAAATTCTCATCAGTAATTTAAAATGACATTAGAAAGATACTCACCAGGAAAAAAAAAAAAACAATCTGAAACTGTCCAAGATCTTCCACATCTACTAGACTTACTTATTTGGCTACATAACTCAAAAGATAGGCAGTATGAACAAGCATATTATGTTTTTGTTCCATTGAATAAGAACAAATTTTAGGGTAGATGGTATGAAGTTTGTAAGAGGTTTATTGTTACTTTCTAGACTAGTGTTTAGGAGTAGATTACGTACTTGGATTTCTGACCTAAGCTCCGATGTACTGATTTCAAGGCCACATGTCTGCGATCTATAGGTAAGGATGGTACTAGAAGGGTAAAGCAGGTATGATTTTTATGTTCACAAAGACTTTTAAATATACTTCCCATTTCACATGGTCTCTGAGCTATCCAGGTAAAGGGAACAACACTAAGTATTCTATTTGAAAATATCTTTTCCAATCAAATCATTTGTTGTACCTTCCTTCGTTCCCATTGGGTTTCTGTGTTCATTAGTTTTCTATTGACTTAGAGTAATTTTGGGAGTGGAGAAAATGACTCCTTAAGGTTGGCCTATAGGCAAGCCTCTGGGAGCATTCCTGGTTAGTGATTGATACGGAAGGGCCCAGGCCACTGAGGGTGGTGCCACCCTTCTGCAGGAGACCCTGAGTTGTATAAGAAAAAGGGCTAACAAAATGAGGATTCTTTTAATATTGACTAAAATGGAATACACTTTCTTGTGCTAGTTAGTTTTCATCCGCTTTATACATGTGAACTAGAGTCATCTGGGAAAAGAAAATCCCAGTTGAGGAATTGCCTTCGTTGGATTGTCCTTTGGGATATTTTCTTGATTAATGATCGATATGGGAGGGAGCAGTTCACTGAAGGCAGTGACACCCTTAGACAGGTGGTCCTAGATTGTATAACAAAGCAGGCTAAGGAAGACATGCAGATCAAACCCATAGCAGCATCCCTCCATGGTCTCTATTTCAGTTCCTTTCTTCAAATGTCTGCCTTGACTTCCCTGGACTATGAAATAAACTCTTTCCTTCCTAAGTGGCCTTTGGGAACAGAAACCCTAAAGCAACAGAAACCCTAAAGCAGTTTTTATTCTTTTTCAAGAGAGATAAAACAGGAAGAAAAACCCCAATGCATTCTTGAGGTACAACACATTCTTGATGTAAGATAGAGGACAACTCTGTAATCCTAGGAAGAAAGGCCAAGGGAGACAAATTTGAATATTATTAGCAGGGACATTCTGACAACCAAGGCACACATGATAGCCACACATATTTTTAACATTTTTGTCTGCTATTTATTACCAAGTAATAGATTCTGTGATGTTTTGTCTCATCCATAAGCCTCATTCATAATCAACTTCTACTTTATGGAAGACCAGGGGCTTCATTTTCAGTAACATGGAAGGCAGAGAGACACTACTTGTGAATGTCCTGCTCTCCACACTGTTCATGAAAAGTAGCATATTACTCTTTTTCAATAAACAGTAGGAATCTACACTCAAAACCTAATGTTCTTACTTTTGAAAATTAATATCCTTTTGAAGAATTTTAAAACAGTGGCTGTTTTGTTATTAGTAATTTTATCAGTCTGATTATTGGGTGTCTGATTATTGATTGTGTCACTATTGGCATCCATCTCTGCACATATATACACATGTATAATTTACATGCTACTACAATAATATGAAACACACATCCTTTTAAAAACATTTATTCTTTGTAGTGAATGATCATGGAAAAGTAAGATTTGCCGTGGCTTTTTATCTACTATTTGCAAAAATTTAATAGCTATACTACTATACTCCTACTCCAAAACAATATTATCACCTTCAAAATAACATTTTTCAAAACAAAACACATTTGTGATGACAAAATCTTAAACTAAAGGTTTCTGTTACATTACCTATTCTTTATGCTTTGGATATCAACCCCATTCTTCTATATCATCTACAAACACCATTATTTATGGGATTAAAAAAAGATTAAATCTATTCTTGGTATCAAATCTTTGGTGTGCCTGATAGGACTAAACAGTTCTAGCATTTCTCATTCTTTGTAATTTACTACTTAACACTTCTAAAAACACTTTAAAGATTTCTGGGCGGTGACAGTCTCATGGCCTGGTTTTGCCTCAAGAAATTTGTACTAAAATTTCCTTACTGGTTCTTATAATAATAACTTTTTAAAAATCTTAAATACGTCAGTCTGTGCATAGGAACTGCCTTTGGTGCTGCTGCAGGAAACCATGCACTGCTGAGGCCTCCGAGGCCCTCCATCCTGCTAGACTACCTTCATCTGGAAACAGCTCTGCCATGTGGGCACGGTCGGTTCTAAGAATGGTGAGATAGGCATCGTTTGTTCCCATCTCTGATGGCACCAGAGGTTGAGGCAGGAGTCACTATAGCTTTTAATATTGTTCTCATCTTCACCCAACTCCCAGAAAAATTTCAAATTTCTCTAGAACTTCGGTGTCTTTGGTGTCCCAGTGTTCAAGTCACTGTGACAGTAAGCAGACGCTAAGATGGCAATTACTAACCTGGCTAAAGCCTTTCTGTTACTGTTCTAAGGGCCTTACTTTTATTTGTGTTGCTGTGATAAAATACCCCAACAAAAAGCAAGTTCGAGGAGAAAGCATTCACTGTAGCCCACAATTCCAGGTTACAGTCCATCAGAGCCGGGAGTCATGGTGGCAGGAACTAAAAGTAGCTAGTTACCTCACATTCACAATTAAGAACAGAGAGAAATGAATAAATGGCATGGCTATTGCTCAGCTCACTTTCTCCACTCTTATAGCAGTAATAACCAAATCTAGCGAATGGTGCCAGCCACAGTAGACTTGGTCTTCCACATCAGCTGAACCCTAACCGAACTCTAACCCATGCCCACAGAACAGCTTGCTCTATGTGATTACTCACCGGGTTCTCTTCCCACATGATTCCAGATTGTATCAAATTTACAGAACGACCATACCAAGTTATCCTAGCACTTACTGTCTACCAGGTGGGCTCAAAGGAAACTGCCCCATCAGAGCCAGCATTAGCGAGCAGAAGGATTGGAGTACTTATGTGTAAGGCCACTGGGGTCAAGGTGGTCATTATCTAAAATGTTTAAAGACACTGGCTGCAGACTTTGGTTATTGTCCACATGCAGCTTTTGGCCTTGTCAGCCATGTATTATTTCACATCATATTTTTGCTCACAGCTGTCCTTCAAAGTCATGACACACTGGGACCTATCTTTGGTTTCTTTTGCTTATTCTGTTCTAAGAATGGCCAACACCTTCCATATTCTTGGATATGCTCATAGTGCTCCCATTTCTAAGTCTTGCTCCTGGTACTGAAAAATCTCAGCAGTCTAATATCTGAGCTGCTCATGTACTCATTTCACTAAGGCCCCATTCTCAGGTTATCCCAGGTAATCTTCTTTTTAAATTTATTTTATTTTATTAATTACAGTTTATTTACTTTGTAAACCAGCGGTAGCCCTCTTCTCCATTCCCTCCCAATCACACTCTTCCTCTCTCTTCTTCTCCTATGCTCCTCCCCGAGTCCAATAATTAGAAATAGAAGAAGATATCAGAAGATGGAAAGATCTCCCATGCTCATGGCTTGGCATGATTAACATAGTAAAGACAGCCATCTTACCAAAAGCAATATACAGATTCAATGCAATTCCCCTCAAATTACCAACACAATTCTTTACAGACCTGGAAAGAAAAATTCTCAACTTCATATGGAATAACAAGAAACCCAGAATCGCTAAAACAATCTTCTACAGTAAAAGATCTTCTGGAGGTATCTCCATCCCTGATCTCAAGCTGTAGTATAAAGCAACAGTAGTAAAAACTGCATGGTACTGGCATAGAAACAGAATAGTGGATCAATGGAATCGGATGGAAGACCCAAAAATAAACCCACACATTTATGGACACGTGATCTTTGACAAAGATGCCAAAACCATACAATGGAAAAAAGATAGCATCTTCAACAAATGGTGCTGGTCTAACTGGATGTCTACATGTAGAAAAATGAAAATAGATTCATACTTATCACCCTGCACAAAACTAAAATCCAAGTGGATCAAAGACCTCACTATAAAAATGGACACAATGAACCTGTTAGAAGAAAAAGTGGGGAAAAGCCTTGAACTCATTGGCACAGAAGACAAGTTCCTGAACAGAATACCAACAGCACAGGCTCTAAGAGCAACAATCAATAAATGGGACCT